TTTCTAAGATGGACACAGTAGCTGGACAAGAAAAGTTGAGAATATAGATTACTACAGATTTCCTGTGGAGATAACTGGCTAAATAGGTTTTGTCCTCAACAGTTAACAATGCTTGCAACTGTCTATGCTCACTGTTACCAATTATGGCAATATAAAAAGCTCTTCAAATGCCTGTCAAGCTTAGCCCCCTTATGCCCAGTGTTCCATTACTGGAATGCTAAGCATGCGGAGTTATTTATATCCTACTGCTCAAGGTCATCGCTAAGGTCTGATTTTTCACTCACGCAGAAATTTTAAAAATTGCAACCTCTGGCATAAATGGGTTAAGCATTTATGTTTGCTGTAGGCACCATTAGAGAAAGGTATAGTACAAAAGGAACTGTATAAAATATTTAAGGAATCTATCGGAAGATGGTTCATATAAATATTATTCCCAGACACAATCTTTGGTAGTATTGAATTACAGAATAGTCACAAATTTTTAGTTTATCTATGGAGTTTATAAACAGGATGTTTGACATAAAGATTATTATACATTTGTGCTATTGTTTCTAAAATCTATAAAACTATTAAAAAATTATTGTGGATGGATTATCCATTGTGCTTATGTGACATTAACACATTTAACATAATAAGAAATAGCAAATGTTTATCTAGCTTAAGAATGACAACTAAAATTTTAAATTTGATTTATAACATGAAAAGAATTAATTGGATAATTTGGATGCTGAAATACTGCTTGATATAGAAATGTAGCTCAATTAAAAATTCATTTTGTATATGTCTAAATACTAAGAATTGTTTTTCTAGTTTTGCAAACTGCTAGAATGGATCAGAATATAAAAGATCAGAAGTTTCTTTTTTAACAATTTATTTGAATGGAAGTAGGCAGATTTAGACTTCAACTTATCAGTTTAGTAATTTTGAAATTAAATCACATTGTTCCATAGAGTTTTAGAATTATTAGAAACCACAAAAACTAGGTCAACTTAATAGTTTAGTTAAATGACATGCTTTCATATTTTAGACAAACTAATCTTGGAATCCCAGCTGCTGGAAGCATCTGTTGCAGAGATGTAGACAAAGAGAAGCAATATGTCATCTTAACTGGCTAAAAGAAAGAGAATGCTATGTTAGTCTCTTCCTTGGCACAAATTGTTACCAAATCTCAAATATTCCTTTGGGGTTTAATTGTTTACTAACTTTTGAGAATAATAAACCCTTAAAGCATTCCATTATTTAATAAATAAAATTCTGCAAATAATGGACTTCTTTGTAAACATTCATTTTAGTTTCAATCTTTACCATATTGTCAAGATAATTATTATCCAGATTCAAATGTCTTCAATTTTGTCAACAAAACAAGTTGAAAAGAGAAACAACAGCCTCAAATTGATTTCAAGTGAACAGGATTCTCATTTTTGACTTCAAAAGAATGGTTCTTACCTGCATCAGCATGGTAGGATTCAAGAGTAATCTAATAATATTTATTCACTTCCCAAATACTTATTATAGGAAGCTAAATACAGTTGTTCAAGTTAGGTAATCATTACAGTCACTATCAGAAATTAAGTAAAACAAACAAAAAATGCTAATGGAGCTACTGTAACCTTATTTGCAAATGTAAGCCAATTTAAGCGATCAGGGAATATCTTCACATAATATCACAGAAACTCAATTAAATTAATTTAAAACACTGAATTACTTCCAGGGTTGACTTGTAATCAGCACTGAAAGTTTTCTAACAACTAATTAAGAAAGGTAGTACACAAAGTTATGTTTCTAATTCATTTAATACCACAGTCTCTGAAGGCATTTTCAATTAGCTACATTTTCTTTAGTTTTACTCAATTTATCAAAGTTAGATAAAGCTTTGAGACTAATGTTAAATGGTTATGACTCTGGTGAAATATCGTTTCTATCTTCTTATAAGGGATTTCTATCCCTTGATGAGGCAACGTTTTCAGTAGAGAGTGGTTGCTAAGGAAAATCAATGAAAATGTTATATACCAATCGGTTATTGTTTGCAAAAAGTAAAATTATATTAGAAGGAGAGAATTAGAAGTAACTTTTCTGAGTGGGAAAGATTTTTCTTTTAATTGCGGTAAAATTAGACAAAGCTTTTATATGCTTTCTAGAAACAATGAGTTCTGAAGGAGACTCAAAAATGACAGGAAAGGAGAAGCAGAGAGAAATGCAGCACTTATTACCCAACCTCCTTTGCCTTTGAAAGAAAACAAGAGAAACTGAGATGACAACCCTTCACCATCTGGAGAAAAAAATTAGGAAGACTTTTTTCTGGTGTGAAGACTAGCAAAATATTCCCAAGAAAACGATGAATGCTAAACAACCAACCATGCCAGCTAACACTTCAACCTTGTCTGGTCTTCACAAAGCCTGGAATTCTGAAATTGTTCATGTTACTCTGAAGCACAAGTTCACATTTCTTCGGTGCTTATTTGAAACCTCCACCACTCACTTTCTCCTGTCCTGCCTGTCCTTTTCTCTTAGCACATGATTCTACTTTACTGACAAAAGCTACCATCCAGCCCCACACACCCTCACATCTTCACATCCTCCCTGCAGTCTCAGGAGAAGGGCACAATCCTGCCAGGACTTGATCTTCTACCTGGGCCCTAGCATTGACGTTCTTCCTTCTCCTGTAAGGACCTTGCTCCATCAGTTATCACCTCAGTGCCTCTCACATGGCCTTTGGAAAATAACATGCTCAAATTTCTCTCACTTTAAAACAAAACATGTAAATAACTAATAATAATCATAGGCACACACACACACAACAGCAAGAACAACAACTACTTCTGTGTATGTCAGCTATTATGTCCCATCTAAAAGGCCACTCCATTCTATTTCTTGAATAGTTAACTTATACTCACATTTAAATCTCCAGAATTACTTCTGGAAACACCACCATGGTTACCACATTCTTGCTGTATCCCATGTACATCTCTAAGACTGCATGGTGATTGCCATTTGTCTTTCTACAGCCCTGAATAGTCTGTGGAGTAACTGAGGCCCTAGGTTGTTCACCTATATCCCCAGCATGTGTCACAGTGAATCAGGCAGAAAAGGTACTCAGTAACACTGAAGGGAATAGTTCTCTGTAAACCTTCTCAAATAGTGATACAGTCCTCACTTTCTTCCTTCCTTGCCCAGCATAAGACCGTTATGGACTTAAAATTTTGAGTTGAAGTCATATTAACAGAGCTGTCTTCTATCATGTCTCTTTCTAAGCTTTGTTGCGAAATAATGTGACTAATTGTTAACATATGTTTATCTATCACTAGACTCTGAGTTCCAAGAACTAAGGAGCTAACATGACTTAACCTTCCCATTTGAAATACTAAATAAAAGGTTTCAAAAATTATCTAAAGAAAAGGAAATAAGGAAGGAAGGAGAGGAACTTTTCAAACAGTGGGAGGGGGGTCAAGGCAAGGGGGAGGGTTTATAAAACACAGTGAGGTAAAAATGATGAAAAAATAATTCCAAAATTCTCACTTGACTTAATATAAAATAGTAATTATTTGTCAAAAGATTAACACTGCATGTTTAATTAAATAAAACATACCTTCTTTTCTACATACACTCAAATTCTTCAAAATTCATAATCTACGTTGTATGACATATCTAACTTCCCCACCTATCTCAAGGGATAGTTTCAATCTTCATAATAAGATTATATACTTTATGTTACTTAAAAAACCTGTAACAGTAATACTAAAGTAATATCATGCATTTGCCTAGGCCTTTTCAGGAAATGGAGCATCAAAACATAGGTCAATCATTGATTTCATGACCACCCTAAGAGCTAACAGAACACGTGCTGTTATTCTGATTTTACAGCTGAGAAAATTGAACTTCAGAGAGGTTAAGAGGTGTGTACATTTAAATTGTGAAAAAAATTGAAGAAGGTGAAGGTAAAAGGGAGAAAGAAATATCAGATTTGCTCTTTGAAAGTGCTTCATTAGGAGAAATGCAATTTTAATCAGCAATGACAAACACTTACTCAGCATTCACCTCTTGGAGCCCAGCTCTGACCTTTTTGTGATAGAAATTTTACCAAAAGAAAAAGCAGGAATCACCTCAAGCCCTTCAGATAACTTTTTTATTTTTTGAGAGGTCTGTGCCTTTCAAGTAATTTACTCCCCAAACGCTCTTCAATTCTAGGGTGGCAAGAAAAGTAATTGTTAACTAAAAGCTTATCATCTAATACAGCTAACGCACTTTTTTTTTTTACATATGATACAGTAATAGATTTCCCTTTGTATGTGCATGTAATGTGCATATACTATGGAGATTTCTTGGATAATTTATATGTATCGATTCAGTAATAATACCGTGTTCCTCTGCCACAGCGCGCCTTCACGTTTCTCCCACCCTATTCGGCCCAGCTAGAATTTCTCTCACCATATTTACTTCCTTTGTTTATTCATCTTATCTAGCTATTTTTTTTCATACCCTTTCTGGGGCCATTCTTCTGTAAATTTTAGATTACCTAGAGCAGCATCTTATATTTTATTATAGAATCTTGAGCAAGAGGGGTTTGCGAGATATCTATGTCTATTGTTATTTAAATGTGAATACTTTGAAAAATGCTTACAGAACAAAACACTGGAGTGTGGCAATGAAAATACTTGTTGCATCCAAGTAGTAGTAATGTGGAGGCCTTTTTATTCTTTTTCTAAAAAGTAACTTTCATGTTTTACATAGTTTGGCAATAAATAAGGAAACAGAGTCTTGTAACTGTGGCATCTTTGCTTTAATGACAGATTCTCAGTCAAAAACATAATTTAGTGGCTAGCAAATGCATTTTATCAGAAATTCAAATATTATTTGCCCCTAGGAAAAAATGTGACCTATTTATCCACAATCTGTTTTGACTTTTTTCTATTTTTTGAAATGAAAACCAGAGATGTCTGATCATTCTTACCTTATTTTTCATGGCTAAACATTGAGAGGCAAGCAATGTACAAGAGACTTACCCACTCTTCCTCATCATAGTCTGAATGATGTGGTATGGAGTCTTGTCTTCTGATCAGTGGGGGTTGGTCTTGGGGACTGCTCTTCTCTGTGCTGCTCTTAGGAGAGGGTGGCTTCTTAAGAATACCTCCCGGCCTTGCAGTGTAGAGGGCTAAAAGAGCACTCCTGACGAGTTGATCCTTGAAGGCATGTACAAAGAGCTCTGTCTGCAATGAAATTGACAAGGCATCTCAGTATACAGCTGTGAAAAGGTCAATTGCAGATTTGTTGGTACTTAAGTGGTGTGTATGGTGGAAAAAGTACAGACACCAAAGACAGAAAATGATTCATACCAATCAATGGAAAATAGTTTGGTTTTGAGATGTGGCCAAGGCCTTAAGTCCTCCTGTTTTAAAGTTAATGCTGAGGTTTTAAATACACTATAAACACCATCTGTCTCCTCAACCTTCTCTCTTTTCGTTTCACAAATCCTGTCTTTGGAGATGAATTTCACTGGGGATAATCATTTGAACAACACCTACCTGCTGCAGCTTTCAAGTCATTCCAAACAGATCTTAAAAGAAAATGTAATCAAACTATGTATATTTTATTAAAACTTCAATTATTTTGCACCATCCTAATATATTTTAAATAGTTAAAGAATAAAGAAAGACATATGTTTTTAAAGAAAGGAGATTTTTTTAGTATCATAAACAGATCTCAACAGTAAAAATGGCATAAGCAGTCTTTGTCGTGAAAACATCAGTCGGGTATTCCTTATTATTACCTCCTAAATGCTTTCTTCCTCTAAATTGTTTCAGTAATGCTTAATGTTAATGAGGTTACTGTGAAACTTGGCATATAGATTTTACAAGCTGGTGGCAAATACCTAGTAAATGATATAGCAATAAAGCCTTCTCAACAACAAATAACTTTATAGTTGTACTTTGCAATTTCCTGATGAAATATTTAATAGTGTCACCCTGTAATAGACTGAAGGGTACAGTAATTAGTATACTTAACATGCATGTGGCCTAACAATATGTTCAAAGAGTAGAGATGTAAGTCAAGCAATGGCCCATATTGTTAACATATTCGTACTATGTAATCTCTTAGGAAGGAACCTTTTAACTCATAGCCTTGTATTGAATAATAATTGATACTGTCACCATTTAATGAGGCACTCTTGATGATGCTGGCTTCACCACTGATATTACTCACCATCATTATTTCTTGGTACACTTTCAATATGCAATCAATGGTTCTATGCCTAACTAGTAGTTATTAAATTATTTCTAAATCTTATTGTGAGCATCAGCAACTAAAGAAAACAAGTTAAGCCCCATGTAAAACAAGTGCCCAATAGGACTTTGTTAAATCTGAATACTTATTTGCCATAGATCATACAATTCTAGAGGTAAAAGGAATATTAAAGTTGACATCTTCATTAAATGAGATAAGAAAACTGAGAATGAAGTGTGGTGATATGCTTTAGGGAATACTGCCTATAGGCAGCACAAATGGAACAGGATGAAGTATTTTAACAAATCAGCAGCTTTCTCCCTGATTCCACACTACTCACCACCTGTCATAAAACTAGATGTTTCTGCTGTAGAGGGACGTGTTAGAAGGAAAACTAAAAAACAAAAAGAAATAGCTTCAACATCAACAAAAAGGATGTCCACTCAGAGACCCCATCTGAAATCAGCAACTTCAAAGATAAAAGGTAGATAAATCCACAAAGATGGGAAGAAATCAGTGCAAAATGATGAAATCATCCAAAACCAGAATGCCTCTCCTCCTCCAAGGGGTCACAACTCCTCACCAGCAATGGAACAAAACAGGATGGAGAATGAGTTTGACAAATTGACAGAGGCAGGGTTCAGAAGGTGAGTAATAACAAATTTCTCTGAGGTAAAGGAACATGTTCTAACCCAATGCAAAGAAGCTAAATACCTTGACAAAATGTTCAACAAAATGCTAACTAGAATGACCAGCTTTGAGAAGAACATAACAAGTTGATGGAGCTGAAAAACACAGCACAAGAACTTCACAAAGCATAAACAAGTTTCAGTAGCAAATCAATCAAGCAGAAGAAAGGATATCAGAAATTGAAGATGAATTCAATGAAATAAAATGAGAAGGCAAGATTAGAGAAAAAAGAGTGAAAAGAAATGAACAAAACCTCCAAGAAATATGGGATTATGTGAAAAGACCTAATCTATGCTTGATTGGTGTACCTGATGTGGAGGGGAGAATGAATCCAATCTGGAAAACCTTCTTCAGGATATTATCCAGGAGAACTTCCCCAACCTAGCAACGCAGGCCAACATTCAAATTCAGGATATAAAGAGAACACCACAAAGATATTCCTCAAGAATAGCAACCCCAAGGCACATAATTGTCAGATTCACCAGGGTTAAAATGAACGAAAAAATGCTAAGGGCCACCGGAGAGAAAGGTTGGGTCACCCACAAAGGGAAGTCCATCAGACTTACAGTGGATCTCTCAGCAGAAACCCTACAAGCCAAAAGAGAGTGGGGGCCAATATTCAACATCCTTAAAGAAAAGAACTTTCAACCCAGAATCTCATATCCAGCAAAACTTCTTTAGGGACAAGCAATTGTTCAGAGATTTTGTTACCACTAGACCTGCCTTATAAGAGCTCCTGAAGAAAACACTAAACATGGAAAGGAACAACCAGTACCAGCCATTGCAAAAACGTACCAAATGGTAAAGACCAGTGACATAATGAAGACATTGTATCAACTAATGGGCAAAACAACCAGCCAGTAACAAAATGTCAGGATCATATTCACACATAACAATATTAACATTAAATGTAAATGGCCTAAATGCCCTGATCAAAAGACACAGAGTGGAAATTGGATAAAAAGTCAAGACTCATCAGTGTGCTGTATTCAGGAGACCCATCTCAAGTGCAAAGACACAAATAGACTCAAAATAAGGGGATAAAAGAATATTTACCAAGCAAATAAAGAGCAAAAAAAAAAAAAAAGCAGGGGTTGCAATCCTAGTCTCTGATAAAATGGACTTTAAACCAACAAAGATCAAAAGAGACAAAGAAGAGCATTAGATAATGGTAAAAGAATCAATCCAACAGGAAGAGCTAACTATCCTCAATATAAATGCACCAATACAGGAGTGCCCAGATACAGAAAGCAAGGTACTTAACCTCTCATACAATAACAGTGGGAGACTTTAACACTCCACTGTCAATATTAGATCAACAAGATAGAAAATCAACAAGAATATCCAGAACTTGAACTCAGATCTAGATCAAGTGGACCTAATAGACATCTACAGAACTCTCCACCTCAAATGCACAGAATATACTTTCTTCTTAGCACCACATCACACCTACTCTAAAACTGACCACACATTTGGAAGTAAATCTCTCCTTAGCAAATGCAAAAGAATGGAAATAATAACAGTCTTTCAGACCACAGTGCAATCAAATTAGAACTCAGGATTAAGAAACTCACTCAAAACCACACAACTGCATTGAAACTTAACAACCTGCTCCTGAATGATGACTGCATAAACAATGAAATGAAGGCAGAAATAAAGATGTTCTTTGAATGAGAATGAAGAAACAACATACCAGAATCCCTGGACACATTTAAAGCAGTGTCTAGAGGGAAATTTATAGCCATAAATGCCCACATAAGAAATTAGGAAAGATCTAAAATGGAAACCCTATCATCAAAATTGAAAGAGCTAGAGAAGCAAGATTTAAAAAACTCAAAAGCTATCAGAAGACAAGAAATAACTAAGATCAGAGCAGAACTGAAGGAGATAAAGACACAAAAAAATCCATAAATCCAAGAGCTGGTTTTTTGAAAAGATCAAGAAAATAGAGAGACCGCTGCTAGACTAATAATAAAGAAAAGAGGAAAGAATCAAATAGATGCAATAAAAAATGATAAAGGGGATATCACCACTGATTCCACAGAAATACAAACTACCATCAGAGATTACTACAAACAACTCAATGCACATAAACCAGTAAACCTGGAGTAAATGGATAAATTCCTGGATACCTGCACTCTCCCAAGACAAAACCAGGAAGAAGTTGAAACCCTGAATAGACCAATAACAAGGGCTGAAGTTGAGGCAGCAATTGATGGCTGGCCAACCAACCAAAAAAGTCCAGGTCAAGATGGGTTCACAGCTAAATTCTACCAGATGTACAAAGAGGAGCTGGTACCATTCCTACTGAAACTATTCCAAACAATACAGAAAAAGGGAATCCTCCATAACTCATTTTATGAGACCAACATCATGCTGACATCAAAACCTGGCAGAGACACAACTAGAAAAGGAAACTTAAGGCCAATATTTATGATGAACATCAATACAAAAATCTTCAATAAAATACTGTCAAACCAAATGCAACAGCACATCAAAAAGCTTATCCACCACGATCAAGTAGGCTTCATCCCAAGGATACAAGTCAGGTTCAACATATGCAAATCTATAAACATAATTCATCACATAAACAGAACCAACGACAGAAACCATATGATTATCTCAATAGATCTAGAGAAGGCCTTCAACAAAATTTAACAGTTCTTTATGATAAAAACTCTCAATAAACTAGGTGTCAATGGAACATATCTCAAAATAAAAAGCTATTTACAACAAACCCACAGCCAACATCATATTGAATGGGAAAAAACTGGAAGCATTCCCTTTGAAAACTGGCATTAAACAAGGATGTCCTCTCTCCCCACTCCTATTCAATATAGTATTGGATGTTCCAGTCAGAGCAGTCAGGCAAGAAAAAGAAATAAAGGGTATTCAATTAGGTAAAGAGTAAGTCAAATTATCTCTATTTGCAGATGACATGACTGTATATTTAGAAGACCCCATCATCTCAGCCCAAAATCTGCTTAAGCTGACAAGCAATTTCAGCAAATCTCAGGATATAAAATCAATGTGCAGAAATCACAAGCATTCCTATATACCAGTAACAGACAAACATAGAGCCAAATCATGAGTGACCTCCCATTCACAATTGCTATAAAGAGAATAAAATACCTAGGAATACAACTAACAAAGGATGTGAAGGACCTCTTCAAGGAGAAATACAAACCACTGCTCAAGGAAATCAGAGAGAAAATAAACAGATGGAAAAACATTCAATGCTCATGGTTAGAAAGAATCAATATTGTGAAAATGGCCATACCGCCCAAAGTAATTT